ATATATCAAAGAGATGTGGAGTAGAACAACACATAATCTAAGTAATCAAGGTATTTAATGTGACACTCCCAAAAAAGAAGCTCTCAGCTTCTAAAAGTTCCAATCTGAAACACGTTTTAGGAATTATCATCACACCGGATTTCAAGATTGCTAGTGGTTTTTGCCTCAGGCGTGAATCTCCAGGGGTTTACCCTGAGAAGTACTGTGGAAGCAGGCCTAAGACAGAAAGGATGTGTGGTAAAGTGAGACCTTGGTCATCGCTGTAGAATTGGCCGACTGCCTAATCACGCTTTAACTTCGCCCTTCCATCTCAGAGCCCCTGGGGTTCTGCGGTCTCTGGCACACGGATGAACCACTGCTCACAGCAGGGCACGCTGGGAGACCTGGGGACACTGCCAGCTGAGAGACAGCACTGAGTCCAGGCTGAGCCTCCCACGCATCTGTCCAAATGGACTATAACCTTCTTATGGGCTTTTAGAAACGTTTAATTCTGTTTTATTTTCAAGATATGCATGTAGATTAGACTCTTCCCAATTAACCAACTGACATGTGGTTAATTAATTTTAGTTTAACAAAATAAATGTAATATTTCAAGGAATTACAGAGTATAGTAAATGGTCTATGTACATGCTACAATTATTTTTCTTGGTTTTGATAAGTCAATCTTTAAAAGATTGGCATGTTATAGAAGTAGCCGGAGTTCTGAGAGCCCACAGAAGCAGTGCAGACACTATGGCCAGTTATATGTGATCGCACCTCCATTCCTAGAAATACGGATCATGGCTTTGTGCTCACTTAGTCTTGTTCTACTGCAAGCACATTTATTTAATCTGGGAAAGTTAAAGTGAGGTTCAATTTAAACCAGTCTCAATATATGCATCTACTGTAATTGCTTTTTTTTTTTTTTTGGAGAGATTTTTGCTATAGGGCCCGTGCACTCACCAGACAGACAGAGAGAGACGGAGAAGCAACAGATCCCCACCCAGGGGGGATGGCCACGCCACAATCCCTTCTCCTCCAGTCTCCTCTCGGGATCTTGGGCACGCACACACACACATCCGGCGTGTTTTAAGCCAACGGGTCTGGGACGCGAACCGCGGTCGACTACATGGGAGTCCAGCAACATAGCCATTAGGCTAACTGCTGCTCCTTGTAATTGCTTTTAATTCTAAAAGATGACATAGACAGGTAGGGATAAAACAGAGATATAAAATAACTTTGGATGCTAGGGATCTTAGGTTTGTATTCAGAGGAAAAACGCAAAACCTTACATTAACCTGTACTTAACTGGGTGGACGTTCCTATTAAATGGTATCTTGTCTTCATTTTCCTCATTGTAATAGTTGTTTGATTTTAGTTTGAAGTATTTTTCCTCACTTTGCCGTGAAATGCTGTATAACAGTTTTTCACAGGAGGGTGGGAAAATTCATTGCTCAGAGATTATTGAATGTGAGTATTGAAAGACAAATTTTTATTAGGGATAGTTCTGAAATATCAAAGAAGAAACTTAAATTGTGAAGACTGAAACTGAAGGCTCCTTAAGGAAAAGAAAACATTATAAATACAAAATCAGGATAGGCCTTGGAAGGGGCCCATGCATGTGGAGGGCCTTAAAGATGAAATGTTTCAAGACCAGCAGTTAGCGTAATGGCTATGTCGCTGGACTCCCATGTAGTTGACTGTGGTTCGAGTCCCTGACCCAGTGGCTTAAACTCATGCTGAGTGTGTGTGTGTGTGTGCGTGCCCAAGATCCCAAGAGGAGAATGGAGGAGAAGGGATTGCGGCATGGCCATCCCCACCCCCGGAGGGGTTAATCTCTCACTTTCTGTCTCTCTGTATTTCTGGTGAGCACACTCGCCCTATAACGGAAAGATGAAGCATGTCTAACTCTCCAGCTGCCTCTGAACTGAGGTTTAGTGCAGCTCAGTAGGGTCCATCTTGTTCTGACTCCATCATTTTCACTTTACATATTCTGAAGAGAAATGATTTAAAGTAACACACACCAATAAAACTGAAGTGTTTAAGATGATTATGAAACAATTATCTTCAAATGCTTCCTGTGTTATAAAAATGGCGACATCTCATTCCATATTAACGAGTGAGTCATGGTGTGGTGTGGGGGTGGCAGGGAGCTGGCGTGATGGCCTGGCTGCACAGAACTAGGAGTGCACTGTTGGCTCTCTTTACGCAGAGACGGGGTCCTCCAGCTGGTCTTCTCTTTACGCAGAGACGGGGTCCTCCAGCTGGTCTTCTCCGGTGGTAGCACCTACCCCGAACACGATTATGGAGGGAGAGATAGTTCATATACATAAGTAACTCACTATGCTGTCTTAAACGAAGAAATCCCTCCAT